AGTTTGTATATATGAGGCAAGTATTTCTCCACCATGAATTAAATTTTCAGCAGTGACTCCATAGGTATCTGGGGTCTTGTTTCGATTAAGGCTTTTAATGGCATCCTTGACCTCTTGCTTCTTCACTGGAATGTGCTTGAAGTCATGTTTACATATATCTATAATAGTAGCATATTCGTTGTCTACCTGTTCAATATATGTTTGGTCGAGTTGACTATTATCACTTTGTTCAGCTAGATTTGCAAAGTGTTCTCTAAAGCCCTCCAAGATTCCCCCTTCAGTGTTGTATTTTTGTCCGTTTACATTTAGCTCATCAATATGCATACTAGATCTTCCTCTTTGACGTCGGATAAGTTTGAAAAATAAATTGGAGTTGTTACTTTTAGCATTAATCAGTTCAGTTTTCCTTTCTAGCTGTTGTTTTGCTAGTGTTAACCTGCACTCTTTTCTTAGGTTACAAGTTGTTACTTTTTTCTTCTGTAACCACTGATTATTGGGATCATTAGGTCGGTTGTTCTGTTTCCAATCAAAGTATGCATTTTTCTTGTCAGTTATAGCTTTACGAATTTCTGGTGTCATTACTTGTAGTTTTGGTTTCTTCTTCCTTATTCGTCTGGTTGGTCCTGAAGTTGATGCCGCCTTAGATAATAGTTGATTTAAGTCTATATAAGCAAGTTCAATATCTTGTATAGATTGGAGGTTTTTGTTCAATTCTAATATGCCACTTTCTATTGTTGAATTATATTTCTCAATATCTACTTTGTCCCAGTTGATTTTCGGAGTCGGACATACCCTTTTGTTAGGTTTATTATGTATAAAATAGTCATATTTAATTCTTGCTACGATAGGGTAGTGGTCTGAGATGTTTCCAGGTATGTTTTCAAGCTTGATGATTTTAACAATACTCCTGCTGAAATTTTCGCTATATAAGAAGAAGTCAATGCAAGTCGAGTCACAACCATTTGGGTGTATAAAGGTCGGACCTAGGTCTTTAGTTAAAAGATTATGTTCTTTCATAAATTCCTGAAGATGTTTTGATCTTTTACTATTAGAAAATTGGTTTGCATTTTCATTTAAATCTCCTCCAAGTAGTATGATGTGAGTATCTTTAAATTTTGAGTATATTTCGTGTAGTAGATCTATACACTCCTGAAATTCTTCTATACAGTCTGATGACCCCTTACAAGGCAGATATACTGAAATAATTAGAAGTGGTTCTGCTCCCCTGAATTCAATGCATTGTATACGCTCATTCCCATCTGGAAGTTGTGTGATATAACTATCAAGTTGTTTTTTCCACATGATTGCGACACCTCCGTGACCTCTAGGCATATGTGTTGGTGGGATTGGATCTTTTGAGTCGACGGCTTTACCAATTCCAATATATTCTTGGTTCAATTCATTAAGCATATCCATTTGACAGCTAAATAGCCATGTTTCCTGTAGCAAACATATATCCGCAATTTTATTTACATCATTAAATAATAGTCCGCAAGTATTTACATTTTTACAGTTAAAAGATAAAACATTCAGGCACTGTTTACTATTTACATCTGTCTTTTCATCTTCGCTACTTTTTATCAGAATGGCGGGTGTCTGAGGCTTTTTTGGTTTAATAAATGTTCTAAATTTGTTTTCTGATTTTTGCTTTGGTCTCTGTAAAAAATCGGTTGTCCCTCGGTATGTAGAGCGTTGTACTTGTTAAATCCTGTAAAACCACACTGTGGAGTTTCTGAATGACGGGCTGTTTGTATATTATGATCATGTGTGGAGTTCTGAGTTGTTTTGAGTTTGTGCTTGTTGATTCTTTCGTTCTGTTGTTGTGAATGGTTCCTTCCTTTATCAATATTTCCTATTTCTTGTTCTAATTGTACTGTTATGAGGTTGCTATTATTACTATATTCTTGATATTCTTGATATTCATTACAATCAGGATAGTAGTGATGGTTGTATGACCAGTTATCGTGTTGATAATAGGGGTAATGGTAACTCTGCTGCTGACTGCTATAGTAAATGTCTTGTTGACTATGAGTAGGAATAGAGGGATAGTCATAGTATCCATAGTTGTATGTTTCAGCAGGAGTATTGTTTACACTTTCTTCTAGTCTTATTAGATGATCTATTTCTTTGTCTACCTTTCTTAATATATAGCCCGAGACTTTTTCCTTTATAGCATTGGCTAGATTATCGTTGTTGCTTCTTGTTGAGTTTGAGTCTGACCTACTACTCTCTTGTGTTACATTGTTTCTGTTCATTGTGTTGTCTTCATTGTTGATCTTGTGATATAGGGACTTGACTGTTTTTTCAAGCTCATTATTTCTTGCTTCAAGTTTATGTATCATGTCGTACAGTCTAGTTTTGTCTTTGGGTTGATCATTTACGACAGCTTCTTTTAAACGTAGTTGTTCCTCTCTTTTTTTCAGTTTAAGTTCTTGTTGCTTTAATTCTTTTTGCTTAATTTGTTGTTCTTGCTTGTTGGTTAACATTGGCGTAGTAGATATACTTTCTTTCTCTGATGTGACTGTTTGTGGTGTATTGTTCACTTGGTCACTTGCTGTCTGTATAGTCTGTTGTAGGCCACTGCAGAAGTTGTTATTGCATGCTATAATGGTTGTTGTGTCATCATGACTTACATCTGTTTGGTGGTCAATAAATTCGTCGATATTACTTTTATTTTCTACCCGTGTTTGATTTACACTAAGAGTTCGTTGTTCTTCTATTGCATGGCAGCTGTAACATTGATCAGAGTTTATGTTAAAGCGCTTGTTATGAGAAATGTGGTTGCATGTTGGACAGGCTTGTTTGTCAACCGTCATTTCATCATTGCACACTAGACATTTTTCATCATCTATCGTCTCCTCTCTTAATAAAACTACAGCAGCCGTGATAGCATACGGTACAGTGATAGGTTGCTTGCTACATGTTTTACAACAATAGTCAATATGTGGTAGGTTTTGAATTTCTGTGAGGGATAATTTTTCAAAAGAGTAATGTACCCAGTGACCATTTATACACTGTACTGCCCTAGTCTTGCAATTACGTTTACATTTCAAGCATTTAACAGGGTTAGAGTCAACAGAAGTTGTATTGTTAGCCTCTACATTGCTTAGGATATATTCAAGCTTATCTGCCAGTAATTTATTGAGGTTATCTTTGTCTATTTTTATGCCTTTCAGATTTGTTTTCCTCATGATTGTATGGATTTTTTCAAGATCTTCCTGAATAAAGTAATTTGTCTTTTTGCCATTGACTAACATAGAGCATCTAGTTGTATATAGATTGATTGTATAACCTCCATTATTGTCATCTTTAACCATGAATGTATATTGTACTATGTTGCCACCTTTATCTTTGCTTATGTCAATGCGAACATTTGACATGTCATTGTAAAGAGTCTTGCAAGCAAATAGAAGAAGCTCAAATGATATTGCGTCAAGCTCAGCGGTCAGACCACCGCCCGTTATTTCATAAGATATTTCTGTGCGTTTTGTAGCATCAAGTTTCTTTTTCAAGGCTTTTTCAAAATTCAAGCTGTAGCATTTTGTGATGGTGTCAGAGTCGTGTATGTGATCAATAACTTTGTTACTAGTGTTGGTATTGGGAGTTTTTGTAGTTAGCGCCATAATAACTGATTTTGAGTATGTGTGTTCAGATACAGTTAGCTTGGAGTTCCCATGCAGACTGTACTGAAACACTATCGGCAGTTATTCAGTTGCTATTTCTTATTACTCCACTGTTCACGACCAGCAGTCAGTTTTGACTCTCTCTGAGATTTCACGTAGCCAGACTAATGCTAAATTTTGTTTTGGATGGATTCCGTCACTGTATAATGAGTAGTTATAGTAATGGACTGTTTCCGTACGAGAGCGAGTACGACGTTTCGAAGAAACCTTCAGATGAATGGAGAAATTAGGGGAGCTTGTGTTAAGTTGGGTGTTGAAATGTCTTATATGTCCATTGAGCACAAATATTTGGCGTTCAAGTTCTTTGTCTAATGTTTTATATTCTTGTATTAGATTGTTATCTGTTGATTTATTATACCCTTTTATAGAATATACTGGTACTTCTAAAAATGTTAACTTTGAGCTTGGATATTGACTTAACAGTTCAATAAATTTGTTAAAGTATTGCACAATATAATCAACTGTTTGATCTCCTTGACTGTTCAGTGTAATCTTTTTCTTGCATTTAGTAGTTAGATTGCAGGTGCCTAGCCAAATATAGATGTGAATTTTCCCAATATTTTTAATTCTACTATGAATGTTGTTATTGAGCCAGCTATAACTGTCTTGAATTTTGGAGCCACTTTTACACCACCATTTTATATGTCTATCTTCTGGAGTTGTGACTTGATTTCTTAAACAAAATCCTTTGCTATCTGCTAAGATTACAGGTGTGTATTTTAAACTACCATTGACAGGTGCAATAGGTCTCTGAAGATACTTTACTAATTTGTCTCGGACATATATATTTTACAGTTTAAAGCTTTCTAAGTACGATGAATATTGATGACTAAGAACTATATGTTAGATTAAAATGTTTATATATATATATTTCAGATATCTATGCGTGCATAGCTAGTGTTGTATGCATGAAGCGGCGTACTATATATGCATGAAGCGGAAAAGCAATGTTATTGTTACTGCAGACAGAAAATGTTATTATTTACTATTCAGTCACTCAATATGAATACTAATATGAATGTAGATAAGCTGGATGGTTATGTTTGGGACTCAGCACAAGACGGTCAAAATATTTTTCAAAATATGGCGGCCATTTTTTCATTGGTCGGTCGCCATGCTTGTTGGCAGTGATACAAAGTTTATCAATTTAAAACCATAAAATTTCGCACTAAAAGTTAATATATGGTTTTAAGAAAGTCAATTGGTCACATAAAATGCTGTGGCATTTAAAAATTCCTGATAAAACACAATGTTTCATAAAATGTTATCCCGCCACCAAAAGTACGTCTTCACACTTCAAATCTCACGAGATGTTTTTAGTATTAATGATCCATTTGCAGTGACGATGACAATCATAGGTATACTCATTACTGTTGATTTTGCATGATATGTTATGTCAACTCACTTCTCCTTCCTACGGCGTCAGAGAAAAAAAAAAGCCTTGCAATGCGTCATAATTATTTGGACTACTTTTCATATGACTTTAAAAAAAACAAACAATAATTTATTTCACTGATTGAGATTAGGCTGACGAGACATTTCAGCATGTGAAATCTTAATTGTTAGTCCAAGTACACAGTTATCATCCATTGATTTTCATTTTTTACAAAAAGATTCCCTAGTGTGGACCATGTATTACTTCAAAATTTATTTATTTATATTATTTATGCATAAAAAGTAAGTACAATGAAGTACCGTCAAGTAGGGGGATGAAATTATTTTATTTTAGTTTGAGAATCACTCATACTTCTTGTATGATGTCACCTAGCTCAGCCTACAAATTACCAAAAAGAAACACATTTTTATTTCCTCTAGCTTATGTGTATGCCTTTTCATATACATGTAAGAATGTGTTACTGCCTATATTGACCTTAAGTTAAATGTTATTCAGTCTTGCATGGCCTAATGGGACCTTGTTCTACTCATGTGGTATGCTATAAGCAGATAAGTCACTTTCTTTCCTTTTGAAATACAAATAACTTTTTAAATATACATGAAGAATTTTTATATTAGCCTCCTCCCCCCCACCCCCCACCCCCTTAATTTGAAATCTCTATTTTCAGACATAGGCTCATATAAATTCGACTTTTGATGAATTGAAATAAATCTGAGACAGCAAATGAGTATTCAGCTGCTTTACATTAAAATACATCATGTACATACATGTGACATACACAATTATATATAAATAGTTATAAAGACAATTTAAAAAGCAATTTTTTGCAAATTATGTAGGCCCAAATCTTGATAGTTAAACGTTAAACTTTAAACGGCAAAAAATTAACACCCAAAGTTCAAACATGAGAATGAACTTCTAGTCTTTAATGTATATATGCTATTGCCATGAAACTAGGTAAACTGTCTTATAATTCCCTAATCTTAGTTCATGCCAAGTTTGATTAAAATTAGTATTTCTACTCTATTAGGTGTCTAGTGTGGATAGTGTATAACTTGCAATTTATTTTCATACTCCTTCCAAATTTTATTGCTTTAAATATTACGGATGAAATTACATTGGAAAAAAATGTGGCAATTTTTTTTAGGTTAGGGATTTTCACTCCTCTTGATTTTGAATTTTCGGAATCCTCTGGTTTTATCCATGCAGTGCCATTAAAACATTTTGGCCGCAAACCCCTACTTTTCTTTTCATATTTTTATAACGTAGTTTAAATAGCCATATTTGAAAATCTTATAAAACCCTTGTTATTTTTCCATAGCTTTTGAAAGAAAAAGGTGCCAGTGTTAAGTGTATGAAAAATCTAGAGAGAATCACTTCCCGCCAAATTTTTAATGGCTTATATCTTAAAAACAAGCACACAGACTCTTCATTTTTTCTGTTTTTTTAGTTCCTTTATTCATATACTTTCAATTTATAACAGTCTTTTAAAAGCTTGTTATTTTGAAACAGAGTAGCGAACATCCTTAAGTAGTGATTTGGTATAGTTTGAAAAGATCAAATATTAGTATGTCTGAAGTTAAGGAATTAGGGGCCAAAAAGGGGCCAAAAATAAGCAGTTTTGTAACTTCCAGACATAACTTGTGTGTTAGTGTATGGATCTCTCTGACATTGTACCACAAGGTTCCATATCACAAAGGGAATGCTGGGAATTATTTTGGGGGTAATTGCCTCAAAATTTTAGGAATTAGGGGCCAAAAAAGGGGCAAAAAAGAAGCATTTTTCTAGTTTCATGACAATAACTTGTGTTTAAGTCTATGGATCTTTCTGAAATTGTAGTACAAGGTTCCATATCACAAAGGGAAAGCTGGAATTGATTTTGGGGGTAATTGCCCAAAATGTTTAGGAATAAGGGGCCAAAAATAAGTTTTTTTTCTAGTTTCCAGACAATAACTTGTGTTCAAGTGTATGGATCTTTCTGAAATTGTACTGCAAGGTCCCATACCACAAAGGAAAGGCTGGGATTGATTTTGGGGGTAATTGCCTCAAAGTTTTAGGAATTAGGGGCAAAAAACAAGCATTTTTCTAGTTTTAGGACAATAACTTGTGTGTAAGTGTATGGATCTTTATGAAATTGTACTACAAGGTTCCATATTACAAAGGGAAAGCTGGGATTGAGTTTGGGGGCAATTGCCTTTAAAGTTTAGGAATTTGGGGCCAAAAAGGGGCAAAAAAAACAATCATTTTTCTAGTTACCAGACAATAACTTGTGTTCAAGTGTATGGATCTCTCTGAAATTGTACTGCAAGGTACCATACCACATAGGGAAGGCTGGGATTGCGTTTGGGGGTGATGAATCATAAGGGGGTTCAAAAAATTTAGGGGGGGTTCCTTTTTTTCCTTTTGTTTTCTTTAAAATTTTCCATTTTAAATTGGTTAATTCTGATTTATATATAAAAGCAAATAATAATGATATGGTTTGAATAGGTAAATTTGAAATATTTAAGTTCTTAGACCACATTCATTTTGTGAGCCTCTTGTTTTAATTGCTTCTGTAAGTAATATATTAATTTGAAATTTTGACGACTGACACATACAGATTATACCGTTAACAATATTTCAGAGTTTAATGTTGTCAAGCACACAAATCATAGAAGAATAGTTAATCACGTCATTTTTGTCCATTGAAAAATTAGTATGAACACGATGAAAAAGTACAGGAATGTTTGTTTGTTAAACTATTGACCATGGTTATGTCTTTGAAACTGTTGATTGGCAAATAGTTTGTGAAATGAAATAGCACAAATATTTCATTCCTTTTTTATATCATGGTATATAGAAAAACACATACTGATGTATAATAATAGTTATAGTCATTAAATTATAGTTTTTACCTTTTTTAAGTTTAGGGCAAGAAATATAGAAGATAAAGAAAAATATAAACAATTACAACTGTACAGTAGAAATGATCGGCAAAACAAGATAAACAGAAGACAACAAGGCCTAAATGGTAAGACCACTCCTATATAATAAAAGTGATTGCCCTTGAATGATGACTATTATAAAAATAAGAAGATGTGGTATGGTAAATGAGTTATCTATCCACCAGAGTTTAATGAAGTGGATGCAAGCAATTAAAGACCAATGACGGTCTTCGATAATGAGAAAACCCATACCTTATAATTCAGCCAATAAAGACCCCAACATGAAAAAATTAAACAATCCAAATTAGTTCAAAGCCAATAACAATTAATAAAAAAATCATGTCTGTGAGCACTCCACGGAACCATAATCTAGGACAGTGGTTCAAATAGCACAACATATGAACAAACTGTAAAAACTGTTGCAAGTGGCTCAACTCATTATCACTGCAAGGCACTAAAACGACTGATATTAAGTCGTGGACACAAAGCACTGAAATAACAGAACTCATAATCATGATTAGTAAGAATATCAAATTTAAGTTTCTCAAAATGTTCATATTAAACATGATAAAATAAGCTTATTTCATATTGCTGTTTTTTTTTTTTTCTCAATTTATATTTTGTGTATTTATAGGTGAGACTTCTTGGTTTTCATGATCATCAACAGGTCTATACAGAAGAGGAAACTTAAGGTTGATACTTTTCTACATTGTGTGCTAATTGGATTAATGTGAAATGAAATGTGTGCTTACCTGGAAAAAGAAAATAGGAAATTTCTACAAAATGGTTGTAAACAAAATGGAGTACAATCATAGATGCACAAGAACACAATTGTGTAATTGCAACAACCTACATATTCACTGAAGGATTATGGAGAAATGTAGAAAAAATAGTATTTTTTGTTGTCGAAATAAACACCTGCTTTATCCATTCATGTACATTGCTCTGTCACATCAAATATACAGAGGAAGATGTTTGAAGAACAAATTGCAAAAAATTAATGTATTCTCTACCAATTGAAGGAAGATGTCTGGTGGATGGAATTATTTATGCACTGAACTGTTATGTAGGGGATTGAATAATTGTATGCAGCAGCTTAAACAAAAGAAAAGTTAAATTAACATGAAAAGTGGTTATTTTATTTAATCTGCAAATATGAGCACAATATTAATAACATCACAAATAGTATGATATTCATAGCGTTTTGCTTATTATTGTATTGTCTCAAACAGCTAGCCTATTGTTTTTGTATGTCATGTTACTCATCAGTGAAAATTTTATTAAAGTTTTAATTATATTTTGTATCAATTATTCAGTCTCAGGAAAAATTATATTCATACTGTTTTAACTGTTATGAAATTTTCATAGAGGAAAATTGAATAACAAAAATTTCCATAGAGGAAATTTGGAGAACAATGTTTTCCTTAGAGGAAATTTGTGGTCTTGAATTTTCCCTCAAGGAAAAGTGTTTGTCAAAAATTTCCTCTCTGGAAATTGCTGTTGGCAAAATTTCCTCAAAGGAAAATTTTAAGCCGCAAATTTCCTCACAGGAAAAAGTATTTCCTCAGAGGAAAATTAGAAGCCTCAAATTTCCTCAGAGGAAATAGAATTTCCTCAAAGGAAAATTTGAAGCCGCAAATTTCTTCACAGGAAATAGAATTTCCTCAAAGGAAATATTAATGCAGCAAATTCCCTAAGGGAAATCTTTTTCCCTTGAGGAAAAATATTTTTCCTTTAGGGAAATTTGATTTCCCTTGAGGAAAACTACTTTTCCTCTGAGGAAATTGTTGAAAAAAGGGGCATAAATTTTTCAACAGTGGTGCTAGAGCCAAAATTTTTTAGGACAAATATCAGGGAACCAATACCAACCAAGTTATCAACTTCATTTTGACTTGACTCCAAAAATTAAGGTGACAACTTTTGCACTCAGCGGAAGTGCAAACTTGTCCCGGAGACTGTTTTGGGTTACTGTCTCATTGACGTATTCTAGTACCTCACATCTCCTTTTATTCGTGCATCAATTAATTTTCCGTTTGCGCAGATGGCTGAAAAAAATATACTATCATATAAATCTGATAGCATTGCCAGTTTTGCTTTATATCAAATATAGCGGATTCATTTGAAAGATTTCTACTTAAAGTCTTGTAGCAAATATTTCATGCATATTACAGCCATTATGTCAGGAAATCAAATCGTAAAGCTATTACAAATGTGTCTAGTCTACTTATTTGCTTTCTTGTTTTGGTATTTTCTGAGCGAAGAAAGAAAGAATGCTCCTGAAACGCACATACGCACTTGCTTCAAATGTGTTTTCTGGAATAAATCCACTAATTCATAGCCCCATTACTTTCTATTAGGCACTCTTAAGCCTTTAAAGCTATTCTGTCTTAAGTTCAAATAAAGTGGCAATCATTTCATAGTAAAACTTTACGTAATCCTGACTTGTTCTGACAAATTTAACATTTCTTTATTTTCATATTAGAGCGCACTGGTTTCCGGAAGTTGGCTAATATAAAAACAGGTAATTCTGATGTGAGCAACAGGGCAAATATGTCCTCTATCATAATTTCATATATGTATTTTATTATTCATGAGAAACTTTCTTCAAGAGTTCTACAGTAATCCCAAGACTTTGAGCATCATTTGATACCAAAATTACCCATGTTTTTGTACTTTGTGACAAAGTTACTACAGTTATGCGTAGGAACTATTTTGTTTAACATATGTACTACTTTCTTGTATGTTCTTTGTGACCGGCCCCGAATTAGTCGTTCTATACCTTCTGGTAGTCAAGTCAAGCGCAAAATAAAAGAATTTACACACAAACCATTTTGGGAAAATAGCACAAACGTCCTTGCACGCTCTATGTAAGTCTTACTATTTTTCTGGAGACAAATTCAAACAAGCAAAATGTAAATGAAGAGGGAATGAAAAAAAAAAATCCTTCTTTCGTTTTTATATATTTTCATATCAACAATAGTCATACTCTTTTTGAAATGATTGTGTGGCTCTAAAAAGAGCCGTTTTCAATATGCAATTGTCTTTGTTCTGTAATAGTCTGTCTGGGTGCTATCACTTAAACTGCTTCTTCGGCAGTGTTATCTGTTGATTCTTCCTCTTATACTGCAGTGTAGACCGATTTCTCACATCTTCTTCCTGTAAATTGACGTCAACTTAGTGGATTGTTTCTCCACATTCCAGTTAAATCTGGTACCATTGTGATGTCAACTTCGTCTTACGACTGTTTTCTCCCTCACGGAACGGTTATGCCAGTGTTACTCTGACTTCGACTGAAAACAGACTTTAGCAGTTTTAATCGTATACGATGAAATCATGCTGATGCTTCGTCTGTTGCCGATATTATACTGTGATATAAAATGTACATCTACTCAGATTAATGGCACTGTACAACACTGTAACGCGATCGCCTATTTTACGTAAGCCTGCGCTGAAGAAAGTCACGCGCTAAAAATCAAAGTTTTTGACTAATATACTTCACTATAATTCCGTTATAACCAAAACTCCACCCCTTGCACGCGAAAAGTGGTGTATATTTGAACTGACAATATTATACAGTAGAAACAGCGAATTGCATGCCGTTCAGTTGTGTGATGTTGGGTAGGTGTTTTATTGATGTATACCTTGCATCTTCTTCTATTCATATTTTATTTTTGATGTGTCAAAAAGTTGTTACCTATTTACTAAACATTGAAAATATTATCTCATTTGATAGCTAATGTTTTACATTAAAAACAAATCTATTTCACGGCACCCCCTTTTTTCTAAAAGAAAAATCAAAACACGAAACAATGCAAAAAACACAAAAAAAGGTTTTCCATGCATAATACGAAACAAAACAAGCTACTTCTTTCAGAGGTTAGCATATGATGTATAGGGTTTGAAACCCTTTTATAGTACACAATTTGCAAAATTTCCTCAGAGAAGGTATTGGCAAAGATCTGGATCGTTTATATACGTATTATATACGTTTGTAGGGTTTTTGGCATTTTTCGTATTTTTTGAAGTTGTGATCTGCACAGATTAAAATTAAATAGTGCCAAAAAAATTTAAACAACGACTCAATGATAAAACGAGTCTTTATCATGGTTTCTTCCTGATAACAAAGACAAATTTTGCAAAACTTTGAAATAATTCCGTATTATTATACCTTTTTCATGAATCAATTTTTACATATAAGTTTTCAACGCAAAATATCTAATCTAATCATTACACACAGTCACGTCTGTCATTACAACTGAACGGACGTGCTGGGTCAGCTCTCCTTTACCCGCTATCTTCGATGAGGGTTTACAGTTAGATGGATCAACGACTTACTACTTTCGATGACAGAAACCAATCCAACGCTGTACAGACTACGTTAGGCTATAATCCGCGTAGGGGCAAATTCCCGCGTCAACATACACTCCAAAACCCATTATGGATGGGGGAGTGGTATGCCGAGTGACGTCCGAGGGCTGTATCCTAGGTGTTAGATGATGGACCGCCATTTCACTGTCTCACGACTCTGGTCCTGATAATGCTTCCTGTCATCGTTATTACTACGTCCGAGACTCATCTACCAGTACTCCATCATCGAGGTTAGCGGGCTGCCAAGCTGACCAATCTGGCCCTGAAAGCAGCCGTTGTGAAGACATAACATCAAAATAGTCAACAAAAGAAAAACCAAAACAACTCACAAAACCAAGATGGCGGCCTACCAAAATGGCGTCCTCCACCTGTTCCTGACCGATGGCACAAAATTATTTAAACGCTCACCAAACGCCTTCGGGCACCGAGCCGACCGTGCGAGGGATGTATATCCAGTCAAGGTCGTTAAAAACTTCCATTTGTTTCTAATCTAACCGCAGTTTAGTAATTACAGTCTATTCTGTTGGGAACTTAGCCCTCGTTGGGACTGAGTGAAACCCGTACGCACACTGAGGCGACGGCATTAAATCTTAGATGTAACTTTTTCCCTTTTCTCTCCTAGTAATGTTGTAAGATATAAGGTGGATGGTTGAGATGTAAACAAAAGACTTTAGTTTAACCCCGATACATTTTATTTTCGTAAACGTGTCTGTGTCCCACGTCAGTAAGGAACTTTTTCGTTATTGGTCGTATTTTATATCGTCATGACCCCCCCCCCCTTTATTTAGAGAATATTTATTTGTCGAAGACTGTATGTATACATCAAGATGTTTTTTTTTATTCGTTTCTGTCGTTGGGCTGCTGTTCCATTGACGTATAATTCCCATCTGATTCTCCTTCTATTTCATACTTGATTTTTCGTGTACAATGCTGGCTGAAAAAATATATAATTTGATTGATTGATTGGTGTTTAACGACACTTTCAACACTATTATGCTATTTCGTGGCGGTCAGTTTTTATTGACGGAGGAAGCCGGAGTGCCTGGAGAGAATCACCGACCTTCGGTTGGAAAACTGACAATCCTAGTCAATAAAGATTAGAGTTGAGTACACAAGCCCCGTGTGTGATTCGAACTCACAACCTCGGTGTTGACAGGCTAGTGATACAGTAGTTCGACTACTTAGACCACTCGGCCACCGAGGCCCCGAAAAAATATATAAATCTGACAGCACTTATAATACATATTGTTAGGACACATGTCTTTTGTTGTATTACACGTCTTCCTCTAGATGTCTTTCGGTTATTTCTGTAGTTGGGTTACTGTCTCATTGACGTATTCTAGTACCTCACATCTCCTTTTATTCGTGCATCAATTAATTTTCCGTTTGCGCAGATGGCTGAAAAAAATATACTATCATATAAATCTGATAGCATTGCCAGTTTTGCTTTATATCAAATATAGCGGATTCATTTGAAAGTTTTCTACTTAAAGTCTTGTAGCAAATATTTCATGCATATTACAGCCATTATGTCAGGAAATCAAATCGTAAAGCTATTACAAATGTGTCTAG